TGCTGCCACGGGAATGTGAAATTCACAGAGAAACCCCCCACTGACAAGACTGCTGCAGCAACGGGCAAACCACCGCCTGCTCCACTTCTGCTAAACAGGTGAAAATAGATTTAAGAGTGACAGGACATTCATGAACTATCATGAGTACATGATAGTTCAGTGTAGACCCTTCTACTTGCTGAGAGAGCTCACACCGGTCACAATAATAGCAGTTTATGTGCCACCGCAAGCTAATGCTAAGTCAGCCATGGAGCTACTCCAGCGCTCCATTAATAAACAGATAACAACGCAACTGGACTGCGCTGTGATCGTGGCAGGAGATTTTAACCATGCAAACCTGACATCTGTCCTGCCTGGATTCTTTAAAAACATGATTTTTCCCGACGAGGGAAAACAACACACTGGACCAGGTTTACACCAACATCCCAGATGCTTACAAAGCCACCCCACTGCCTCATCTCGGACTCCCTGACCATCTCTCTCTGTGCCTGATCCCTGGTTATAAACCTCTAATTCAAAGACAAAAACCATCTGTAAAAACAGTACGAGTGTGGACCGTGGATGCCACCATGGCCCTACAAGACTGTTTTAATAACACAAATTGGAGTGTATTTGCTGAAGGATCAGACTTGAAGGGCCACACATCTGCTGTACTCTCATACATCAACTTCTGTAGTGAGAGAGCACACCACCTCCACCCTCATTCTGAACGAAGGCGTCCCACAGGGGCGTGTCTTCAGTCCCCTCTTATCCTCACTTTTCACCCATGACTGTTCTTCAATCCACACCAGTAACACCGTTATAAAATTTGCTGATGACACCACCATCATAGGACTGATCGACAACAACGAATCAACCTACAGAGAGGAGGTTCAGCATCTGAAGTGATGGTGTGACAACAACAACCTGCATCTGAACACAGTCAAGACCAAGGAGACTGCAATCGACTTCAGAAGAACAAAGCGACCTGAGCACTCTACCCTCTACATTGATGGGGAGGAGGTAGAAAGGGTAGAGAGCCTTAAGTTTCTCGGAGTCCACATCTCGGCTGACCAGGACCAGGTGGGGAAAGCACAACAAAGGCTGTACTTTCTCAGGAAACTGCGTCAGGCCCAATTACCCTAGAGACTGCTAGTAAACTTCTACCGCTCCACCACTGAGAGCCTTCTGACTTACTGCTGCACACTCTGAGGACAAGAGGAAACTGCAGCGGAGGTAGGGTAGCCTGTTTGTCTTTGACCTGATGGACCTGAGGGCAGCAGAGCGGGCAATTGGCATCTCACTAACCCCCCACAGAGACATTTATACTGGCAGACTTCAGAAGAAAGCCAGCATCATCATCAAAGACCCCTTGCACCCTGGACACTCACTCCCCCCCCCCCCCTTCCTTCTGGTAAACGCTACAGGGCCATCAGGTCAAAGACAAACAGGCTACCCTACCTCCACCCTGATTGGAGGACAACTGCACTCATGGGCATTACATTTTATTTATACATCGTATCTCTATAACCGTATTATTTTAGTAGCAACAACATCCCCCCCCCCACACACACACTCAATGTGCAATATCACTGATCACACACTGCACCTCACAAAGCACCTGCTCCTCAGATGGCATGTATGTGTATGTATATATATGCAAGCGTGTATGTGGAAATATGTGTGCGTATGTACGTACACATACATATATGCATGCATATATACATATATGTATGTATGTATGGGTGCATCTGTATTTATGCAGGTGTATGAATAAGTTGTACATATCTTTCTTGTGTAAATGTAAATCTGTGTTATTATGTAAATACTTACTTACACTATTGTGTATTTCACACGGAGAGATGCCAAACTGCCTTTCATTGTTCTTGTAACAGTGACAATAAAGAGCTATTCTATTCTATTCCTTATTGGAGAAGTAATCAGTAATTAGTTACTAATTACTTTTTTCAAGTAACTTGACCAACACTGGTAGTGTTACAGATATCTGTGAGTCAGCGCAGATCAGCATTTGTTACAGCTTCAGTCAGGTTTATCTGTTATGCTGCATTCGTCTTACACCAGCAGAAGAGAAGACCAACACTGACACAAACACTAAGTTGGAAACATCATCAGACTTCCTCTCAACAGTTTTGTGAATAATTACAAAAATAAAACAATGTAATGCTGCTAAATCAGGTGAAACGTATCAGTCAGGTTTCTGACGTCAGACGTCTCTGATGTCAGAAATCAATGATTCGATCAGGTCTCGTTAAACCTGTGAAGTCTGCGGGTTTTGATTGACCATCAGTCACACGTTTCCATCACTGTCTCAGGCCAACACTACAGCTGTCAGGAAGTGACAGACACCGGCGCTGGTGGATTGATGAGGACATCACAGACACATCAAAGTCAGCTGATTGTTGGTTGCTGCTTCCCCGGCTCAGTGAGCACTGATCTCCTGTTTTCCCTGTGATTTACTTGTTTCCATGCCGACACTGGGGTGCAGTGAACGACCAATCAGATGGGGTAAAGGAGATCTTTAGCAGTCTCACACTTCAGACTGACACCTTCATCCACCTCATATTGACCTGCTTTCTTTAATAAAAAGAAAATCAATTGAATAACTTTAAGATGCTCAGCAGTGAAATCTTAACTAAACATCAACCTGGTGGTTTGACCCCATCAAAATGATCAGTATGAGCAGCTTAATATTTCCTGTTTTTCTGCTACAGTTTCATGCAGAATTAGCCCCGTTATTAAAGTATGTTGCAGGGTGAGGCCCCATGAGACGCTTGCTTAGCTCCGATGTTTGTCTTTGTAGGAAACCGGACCAGAGTCTGTGTGATAAATCTGCCAATCATATAACAGTCAGGCAGTTTTAAAAGCAACATGATGCAAAAACCATGTAAACGTGATCTCATACAGAGAAAAACATCCTGAAGAGAAAATCCGCTGATCTACTGCAGCTCCCTCTCAGGAGGTCAGAGCTGCTTTGACCTGGTGGGCTGGTATGAAGCTATGGTGGTGTTGAAAGTGGGTTGGGATGAAGCTGCAGGGACACTGGGAGTGGGTTAGGATAATTCTGTGGGGATGTGAGAGCAGGTTGGGATGAAGCTGTGGGGATGCTGGGAGTGGGCTAGTATGAAGCTGTGGGGATGCTGGGAGTGGGCTGGGAAGAAGCTGTGTGGACATGGCAGTGAGCTGGGATGCTGGGAGTGGTTGGAAGGAAGCTATGGGGGACGCTGGGAGTGGGCTGAGGTGTTGCTGTGGGGACGCTGGGTGTGGGCTGGGATTAAGCTGTGGGGATGCTGGGAGTGGGCTGAGGTGTAGCTGTGGGGACGCTGGGTGTGGGGCTGGTATGAAGCAGTGGGAACAATGAGAGTGGGTTGGGATGTGAGCAGTCAATGATCTGCGATTTTCGTCGTTCTGCGAATATCAAATCAAAGAGTCATGAGAGCCTTACTCACACATATACCCGCTAATCAGTAACCTCCAATCAAAATCTTCAAATTTCTCTCACCAAACCTGGAGAGAGGTACGGCCTGAAGCTCAGAGAAGGATTTCAACTTAAGTGTCTCTCATTCTGCTGTTTCTCTGATGGCTGAATTTAAGTGATGAGTTAAATTAGAAGAGAACAGTGAGGACTTCATTCTTCACCTCTGCCTCTGACATCCTGTCGAAATGAGGGCTGCAGACAAAAAGTTGAATCCTATTTTTCCTTTTATCAAAGCTAACGTCTGCTTTTCACACTTCAAACATGAACAATCTGTGCTGATTAAAGTCTGAGCACATTCACCTGAAACCATCTCCTCCCTTTCATCTCTCCTGTGCTGATAATTTGATCCAATTACAGCTCCGTCACGTCCCATATCAGGTGAAACTGAGTGACAATGTGGATAAACTCTCCTCAGAAAGAGGAGGATAAGCGCGATGGTCTTCATCCTGTCAGGCTGAGGGTTTAAATCTGCATGATGGAGTGCTAACCCGGCCACATGAGCCAGGCTTTGGACTTAAACACACCCGCATGCTTCAAAGCTGCTAATCACAAAAGATCATTTATGGATCTGCAGAGGAAGAGGAGGAGGAACGAGGAGTATAATCTGCCCATCTCCTCCCTGAATCCTAAATGACTCCTCAGTGAGTGTGAAGGAGGCTTCCACCGTCCCTGCTGTGGTAAAGCCTGAGCGCTGGGATGCTTTGAGCTTCATCTCCACAGCCTGGGAGTCATCCTCCACATCAGGAAGCAGCTTTTATTTTGAAGGGAATGCAGCTGTGTTTTCCTCAGACTCAGCTGAGCATGCTCAGTATGCATCAGCTGATGATGTGCTGCAGAGAATGCAGTGACAGGAAACAGAAACAGCTTGTTCTTCATGAGTTTCCTGCACAGACCTTCTCACTGACGCACAAGGTTATATTTTTGTGGATGAACGACAGCATCAGAGAATAACTATGATATTATTCACAATCAAGACACACAGCAATAGAACACGCTATACAGGATAAAAAAGGGGGCGGAGTCAGGAAGTGTTTAGGTCAGGAAACCGGGCAAAGGGTCTGATGCAGCTCACCAGACGGCTTTGCAAAGAAGTCTTTATTAATAATAATAATTCTTTAATAATTTTTAACAACTTAATGCACAAATATTGCTTTAATTATTTTAAATTGAAATATTATTACTGATATTTATTATTACTGTTTGTTTCAGCTGCTGTGAGATCAAATATTATTTAACTTAATTATATTAAATTTTAATTTTTTGTTGTGTTTTTTTTTTTATTGCTGTAACAGGAGGAAGAGACCACAGCTTGCTGAATCAGACACTGAAACTGAAAGGTTTATTTGTAAAATGACTTTTTTTGTTGACTGAATAAAAATGTTACTTATTAGTGTTATTAAACTAAACACTGGTAGCAGCATTAGTGTTAGTTTAATAACCAAAAGGTTCCATAACGCAGCAGGCCACTGTGTATGGAACCTTTTTTTAAATGCTCAGACTTTCCCACCATGCACTGCAGTCCTACCTGAGCAGGATGAGCTTCACCTTGGAGGTGGCACTCTTAATGATGGCTGAGGCGTTCTGGTGGCTCCGCCCATAAAGAATCTGGTTGTTAATCTGAAATGCAGACAGAGGGGTGGAGACGAGTTACCTGATGTCCACAGGTGCTGAAAGTGAGGGAGGGTTATTACCTCCTGAATACAAACAGACAGACAACAACAGTAGTAAATGTGTCCTCAGAGCGGCAGACCGCTGAAAGGTCCCCGAGAACTACAAGAAGCAAAATGTTATATCAATACACACACACACACACACACACACACACACACACACACACACACACACAGCAGATCGACCTGAGAGCTGCACTCAAGTGTTTTCTCTTCAGTCTGATGCATCTGCTCGTCTGCAGGTAGAAGAGCCACCTGCATGAGGCTTTGACTTAATTGACAACAACAAATTTATAAAAAAAAAAAGAAAAAAAAAAAGGATGGCCCAGATGTTGCAGATGTTGCACCAAATTCCTCACACATGATTAAAATCATCTCTCATGAACGCCATGCTTTCACTCTCACTGTGGTTGATGTAATTTATGTAAAATGATAATCTGGACTCTTCTCACCTCCAGAAGCTCATCTCCAATCTGAATGCGCCCATCGCGGGCAGCCGGCCCCCCGGGATGGAGCCCGACCACGAAGATGCTGACGCGGGAGCGATCCCTGTTCCCCGCCAGGCTGAGGCCCAAACCCTGCCGTTCCTTCTCCAGCTCCACGCATAGCAGCTCCCCTCGCAGGTCTCCATAACGCTCACACCACCGCTCTGCAGCCCAGGGAGGAGGAGGAGAACCAGGAGAGGAGAACAACCAACTTGAGAAATTATACACCTCTCACAAAAACACTTTTTAATCAGAGCACATCATCAAGTCACTTAAATTCCTGGATATTGATCTGATCAGGTAAGGATCAGAGGGGGGTGCAATAGAGGGGCAACAATGAGACGACCCCAAACCAGGAATGTTTTTAATTTTCCCCTCCTCGTCTTTTATGACTGTTTTTCACTAGTCTTGCATTTGGCTAAGATCAGTGTCACTGCTGGTAGCATGAGGTAATACCAGGACCCTACAGAGGTTGCACAGGTAGTTCAACTCCTCCAGCGTGGAACATCAATACGTGCCACTGCCAGAAGGTTTGCTGTCTCCCAGCACAGTCTCAGGAACATGGAAGAGATTCCAGGAGAGCCGGACAGGGCCGTAGAAGGCCTTAACCCATCAGCAGGACCGGAATCTGATCCTCTGTGCAAGGAGGGAGAGGACGAGCACTGGAAGAGCTACAAAAGGATCCCCAGCAGGTCGCTGGAGTGAACGTCTCTGAACAAGCAACCAGACACAGGCTTCATGAGGGTGGCCTGAGAGCCCGATGCCTTCTAGTGCGCTCACTGCACGGCACCGTGGACCTGACTGACATTTGTCATAGAATGCCCTGTGCTGTTCACAGATGAGAGCAGGTTCACCCTGAGCACATGTGATAGACGTGAAAGGGTCTGTAGAAGCTGTGGAGAACGTTATGCTGGTCTGGGGAGGCTTATCCATGGAGGGACACATAGACCTCTGCAGGTGAGGCAACAGCACCCTGACTGTCATTAGGTATGAGGATGAAATCCTTGGATGCACTCTCAGACCCTACGCTGGTGCATAATCTTTTTGAGCAGTTATATAAATGTGCCAGGTTAAAAGACAAAGAGTCCGAGCACTGATAGAGGTTTATGGCTGTATTTGTTGGGATTCCCAGGAAGCCACTTACATGTGAAAAATAATGCCTCAGCTTCACTCAGTGATCAGGAGCCCGGTTTTCGGATTGGCTCATAGACAGGGAGGAGGAGATAAAATTAAAAGCATGAAGGGGGAGGTGAAGAGGAGAAAAATGTGAAAGAAAGTGAGTAAGAAATCCAAAACACAAGAGCAGAAGGGGAGGAGAGAAGAAAGAAGAACAAAGAGGAGCATTTAAGATGTGAAGGAGAAGAGTAACGAGGTGAGGAGGTAATTATGAAACAGAGAGGAGGGAGGATGAGACGAGGAGAAAAGCAGAGACAAATCTGGTGTCAAACAAAAATCAGTTTAATGATCTGTGAAAGAAACAACAAACGGCGAGGGTGAGGAAACCTGCAGCTGAGACTAAACTCCTCCACTGTCAGCAAACGTGCCTTTAATTATTGCTCTTCGTGCTTCCTGACCTTTCCAGAATCAGCGGCCGCTTTGAAGATGTGAAGGGTTTTGTGTTTTTGGATTTAAAGGTCACTGCAGTTATCAGAGATAAACTGAAAACCAGTAAATCACTTCAAACTGGAGAATAACTGAAACCAGACTTGATTTCCAGGAGACATTCGACAAATTTTACATTTCAAATGTCACGTTCACCGAGTCTGCTGAGACAGCAAACCATCAGCGGCTTCCTGTGACACCAAAGAAAACGTAAAACATCTGCAGTTAAAACGTGACGTTTTTCTTTAGTTTTTACATGGAAGCACAAAACTGAAGACATGAAAACGAATTGTACAAGCTGCAAAGGGAGGTGACACTGAAGGAGAGACTGTCCAGGTTCAAATCATCAGAAAAGTTCATTCTAATTAGCTTCAGCGCAAAGAAGAGGAGGGAGGTGAGGATGAGGAGCCATGAGATGATGACGATGACAGCATTAAAGAGTGCAGACCGATGCCGTCTGCTCACAGGATCATTCAAAGAACATGACCTTCAGCTGGGCTGATGATCAGGCACTTTAGCTGAACCAGAGTCTGAAGAAACTGGTACGATCATTCACAAAGTGCATTTTGGGTAAACTTTCAGAACTGGTTAAAGCAGGTGAAAGGTCATGGTTTACCTCAGCATTGACCTGAGAACAGTTTAACGTGCCGGGCTGCAGCCTGCTCCTGTTATAACACACGACAGGTGAGTTTAGTTGGTGTTTTGGTTCAGCCTGCCCCAGTTTGCTGCGAGCAGCCAGAGACACTGCGTATAAAGTTTGATTCACAGCCGAGCAAACCCGGTGAGGTCACGACCGCGTTGGTACTTACCGAAGCCACGCTGCCATGCCACGAAGGCAGAGAGTGCAGTATTTGTAATTTAATACATTTAAAATGATGATGTAAATGGGCCTCTGTCAGCATCAGAACCATGATCAGTGTCAGACTCGGAGATCAGCCCTGCAGCACTTTGTTTCCTTTTGTTTGCTCAGGTTCAAGCACCAAAACCTGCTTGTTGAGGGGGCAGGAGGTCAGACCCGTCCTGTGTTTGTGGCTCTGGGGCCCGAGGCAGCAGAAATTCTCTGAGACATGCCTGGAAACAAGTTGAGCGCTTGTTTTTAATCATCATGTTGCTGTCAGAGCACTTTCTGAGGAAAACAAGCTGCCTCCTTTCCTCGGTGGCATCGACTCAAACGACCAGGTCAGATAAGATCTGATCGGAAGAAGCTGTCACACACTCAGCTACAAACGACTTAACACAACGCCATGAAGCTAAGCACGTCGAGAATCATAGGAAATATCTGAGATGGCAAACAACCACCCCAAAATATCGTCCACAGCTGAATCACATTCATACATGGACCCGAGAAGAGCCCGCTCTCATCACTAGCTCCTCACACGCCACCTCAGGTACCTGAGGTCACTGCAGCTCCTCTGACATCCAGCAGAGGCAACAGTGAGTCAGGCTCCACAGACCTGTGATGTTAAAATGTCACAGCAGAAACAAACATGTTTACAGCCTGATACACAAATTGTGTGGTTTGGTATTAGGGGCGTGGCCTTTGCGAGTGACGGGTGGATGGTGACACAGGTAATTGTAGCTGCTACCTGTCTGCTAGCTTCACCTGAACGGGACCTCTGCACTGTGTTTGTGATTTTGGAGCTTTGTGAGCACCCCATCCTCTCACACAAATATGGTCACAGCCAAAATGCTAAAGCAGAGCGTCTGAATGTCCATCTTCTATTTACAGTCTATAGTTGCACACAGACTTTCCCTGCAGCGTTTCCATAAAACACTAAATATAAAAATAACTTTGCATTTGTCTGTGTGAAGCTGGAAAACAAAAATATCTACAGAAAACACACAACCATGCTATTAAAATCTCACACACACACACGCAAACACAGTTTAATCAAAGGCTAACAGTTTTCAGACGGGAGGCAGGTGTGTGTGTGTGTATTTAATGAGCTATTAATAGCTTTAATGTGACAGGTAACTGCAGGTGTTAATGCCTCTCGGGGTGAGGAGAGGTGGCTGAAGGACGGAGTGCCTCCATCACCGGCTGCTGCTCTGATGATGGAGGCGTGTCAGGAAGAGGAGCAGGCGCACCTTTTATTGTGTGTTTAATGTGAATTAAATTGTTGGGAGTGCTTCTCTTTGTCAGGATGACAGGATGTCTTGTTAAGCTCTCCTTCAGGAGGCTCAATGTGTTCAGCTGACAGAAATCTATTAAAAATACATAAGGAGCTAAACTGCTGCCCTACGCCCGCAGCACAGAAACCACCAAATTAATTAACCACTTCCACTCCGCTGCTCCAGCCACTCATTTGAAATGGTTTATCAAAGCAGCAGAATGCAGCTCAGAGTTTGGTGTTCAGACTCAGTTCATGGACTGCAGGTGCGTGGTGGTGGACGATGGGACAGCAGCTACGTGTCACAGACAGGACATTATCCAGATGATTAAATAGACTCTGAACCCTGACGGTGAGTTTGGGCTCCGCCTCATTTATGGTGGAAAGATTTTGCAGCAAAAATTCTCCGAAAGGTATAAAAGATTGAATCAAGTTCAGAAACCCAGCAGGTCAGCCTACTTAGCTGCTGCACATCTCCATTCCACTTTGCAACCCACCTTCACCCAGTGCCTCCTCTCATCACTGTCATATCTGTTATGGATGAGGCTCCACCCTCCTGCTGAGGTCACAGAAAAGTCAGTCTGCAGCTTTTAAACAACCAGCAAGAGAAAAATATCAGTTTTTAGTCTTTTCTTCATTATAAATTAAAGTAAAACAGTTTCTCACACTTCAGTGTTTTTAAAGAAGCTAGTTTTAGGCAGATGGAGTGGTTACCCAACATTTCAAAATATATCACACAGGTATTCAGATCTCCTTCTTCGGGTTTGGGAAAGAGTCGTCCATGAGTAATTGGGAGGAGCAGAGGCAGAATGCGGTGCTGCCCTCACCCATGGTTATTCGCTTTGGGTAAGGAAAGAAAGAACGAGGCATGGACTACAAGAAGCTCAGCTGCTTCTTCGTACTGAGCAGAGCCAGCAGAGGTGGTGCAGCGTCTAATCATGGCACCCTTCGGGGAGGAGGACTGGGAGGAGATAAACTGCGAAGTCATTGGAGAGATTTTATATCTCATCTGGGCTGAAAGCAGCTGAGGATCCCTCAGGAGGAGGCCAAGCACACTTTCAGGAAAAATCCATGTGGAATATGACACCATTCCCACCTCAGCTTCGGATAAAAACAAGAGGATGGGCAGGTGGGTGAATGTGACCTGCTGAAGTGGTCATCATTACTTCTACTGGAAAGTGAGCAGGAAGTTTATGCAGACCCTGAACTGCAGGTCATAAAAGCTTAAATCTACAGGATTTGTGCGCACACACACACACACACACACACACACACACACACACACAGGCTCCAAGCCCAAAAAAAAACACACTGTGACTACAGGGGGCGCTGCAAAGACGGCGCACATGCATATCAATGCAGCACACAGGCTGCCTTCAGCTGATGGCACCAAGCACCGACTGTCACATATGGCAAAAATGATAATCACGATTATTTTCACTGAAATTGAG